TAATACCCTTAAGCACTTCCTCTGTGCAAGGTGCTGTGTGACCCCGTCACACTTGGTAGCACTAGTAGTCAATCCAACACCATCGCGGGTAGATTGAGCTACCTGAATCCTCTGTGCGCTCAACGTTTAAGCCAAGATGGACCGAAGCGAGTTTCCTCGCTTGAACGACTCACAGTACGAGTCTGTTCGGAAGATGGGAGGCATCTTTGGACAAGATGTCCTTCGCAGCTTGGCGGCGGCGACGCCTGCCGAGCAACAAGAGCGCGTGACCGCGTTTGAGACCTACGAGCGTGGTCTCATCGCTCACGTCCGCGGGAGCTTGGAGGCCACGATGGCCACTCCCCGGGCAACCAGGCCTAAGCCGGTGTGGCTGAAGGCCCCGTGTTTGAGGGGAAGGAAGGAGAGAGCCTTCACTTCTGGGTCCGTGAGGTGGAGATCGCCACGAAGGTGGGTCTCATCTCGGACGAGCCAGTTCGGGTGGCATTTGCCCTGTCCAACCTTGGTGGACGTGCCAAGCACTGGGCATACACCAGGGAGACGACATCTCCTGGATGTTTTGCATCCTGGGGTCAGCTGTGTGAGCAGCTTCGAGCCGCGCTCCTACCGGCGAACAACGAGTTCCGCCAGCGCTCACGCTTTCTCGCGTGTAAGCAAGGTAAACGTGAGCTGCAGGAGTACGCGCAAGAGATGCACACGTTGGTGGCATCTCTGGCAGGGAGTCCTCTGCCTGAAGACATTAAGACAACAGTCTTCATGGGCGACCTATAGGTCGGTCCTGCTCGCACCCAGCTATTCCGGGTGCAAGCGACAACTATGGAGGAGGCGATTCGAATCGCCCTCCAAGAAGAGTACAGCCACAAGCAGGCTGGTACTCTTCGGGAAGAGGAACATCGCCACGATGATAATGGCGTTCCTCGGCAGGTGGAGCATCGCAGCAATGACGCTGTTGCTCCTGCTGTCACGCAGCCCGTTGATACCGGTGCGTACAGCGAGCCCGAACCCATGGACTTAAGCTCAGCCGAGAGCTTGGTCCGCTGCTATGGATGCGGCGGACATGGACACTACCAGCGTGTGTGTCCCTCGCTAGTCCTCGGGAAGAAGACGGCCCGTGGGCCCCAAGTCCGGTCGCGCAGGCCACGGCCAGGTGGACGAAGACTCCCCGGCCAAGTAGAGGCAGTTTGCCCTACTGAAGAGCGCTAAGCCTTCGTGATGGGTGTGCAGGTTGTGCGCACCACGGGACTTAGCCCAGAGAGACGTGGTTCTCTCAAACCGGTGAAGGGCAGTGATGGGCTGCTGGTAGTACACTCGGTGTACGGGGGTACGGTACCCCTTGAACGTTTGATGAGTTCTGGGGCGTTGATACGCCGCCGGAACGTCGCTTGGCATAGCGACATCCGACTGCACTCTATGTCAGAGTGGCGGTCGTGGGCTGGTCCTTGGTGAACTAGCTTTTGGTACGGTGAAGGAAGTACCAATGGTCCTCAACGGACCTGAACGTTTCGGCTCGATGAACTCGCGCACCGCGGTGTCGCTCGCAGTTCTCGCCATGAACAACATGGCTGTGCCGAACATAAGGCACAGCCCGGACTTTGGTGTGGCAAGGCTGAGAAGGGCCTACCAGTCCAGGTCTATGACGGAGCATTGGTGAGTCATGTTTCCACCTCCGTCATGACTGGGGCGTCTGATACAGACCGCCAGGACGCAGAAGCGTCACGGAGCTGCTAACGCGCCGACAGCTCTGCGTACAGCAAGACCATGCTACGCTGCGGCAATGCCACGGGCATGGGTCTTTTGCCCGGCGTGTGGACCTGCTACACCAGCAGCGTCCAACGCCGAAGGTCGTCGCGCCGTACGGGCTTCGACAGTGGTTATGCCTTTAAGCGCTAGCCAGGTGGGTAACTTAGAACCACACGGTCGCCCAGACCTTAACTGAAGAGGAAGGCGCTGAATGTGCTTCCTGTGTGGATAACACAGTACCACACGCAGTCGCCCAGACTATAACTGAAGAGGAAGGCATTGTCCATGCTTCCTGTGTGGGTAACACAGTGCCACACGAGGTCTCGAGTGCCTCTGATGTCGTCAACGAGACATCACGACGTGGGTAACGAAGTACCACGTCACGTCAGCCGCCGCAAGTCGGGTCTGAACCTTGTTCAGGCCGACGTCGCTTCACGCGACTCGGAGTTCAGGGCCCGGACTCCTCTGACTCGGTCGGTGGACACCAACTCTGTCCGGTGTGTGAGCGGGTCTGCCACACCAGCCGATCCCAACACCGAAGGTCGTTGCGCCGTATGCGCTTCGACAGTGGTGGTGCCGAAGGGCATTCACCAGGTGGGTAACATAGGTCCACACTGCGGGTAACAAGTTCCGCAAGCAGCGAAGCTGCTTAAGGAGACCGACATTCGGTGCTCCGAGCGTGGGTAACAAAGTTCCACGCTAGGTCACTCAGGCCATAACTGATAAGGAAGTCGCTGTATGCGCTTCCGGTGTGGGTAACAGAGTTCCACACAACCAAGGTGGGTAACAGAGTTCCACACAACCAAGGTGGGTAACAGATTTCCACACCCAAGGCGAGTACCATAGCGCCGCACACAGAGCCATTGGATCGAGGCGCGAGGTTGTCTTGGCCTCGCCAGACGTGAGCAACTCGCTCGACGTCAAGTCGCGCAGACTCAAACGGCTGACGCAAAGGCTGAATGCCTTCGGTCGACACGGCCGACGCGGTCGACCATACCGACGCAGTGCACAGGGCGGAGAGCCGTTACGCCTGCCAGCGGCTATTAGAAGCCACGAGAGACTCAGTAGTCTCGAGGTTGAGTGGGGGAGAGGCTCGGAAATACCTTTCCTCCCTGGTCTTGAGGTAAGACCAAGTTCCTTACGGAACCAGGCGGCGATGTACATCGACTGCAGGCTGGAGACGAACAACCGGGCTAGAGCTGCGGTAGCTCTAGCCGAGCAAGGCATAGTGGCGAAGAAAGCCACTAGCGCAAGGTGCCTCGGAATCGCTGAGCGAATCAGCAGTGTTGAGGTTGCAAGCAACCACACACGAGGCGAAGCGCGGGCCTTGTGCAATCAACGCACTGGTCCCTTGGTCATGAATGACCTGTCGAGTAGGGTGAACGGAACGTCTCACCCGCCGACAAAGCGGTTGCGGTACGTGATGTACGCAACGCGCCAGGTATAATGGGCCGTGGAGCCATAACCCAAGTGTGGTGCACGAGTGCTCACACAACTGACCAGGTGGTGGTCGAGGCAACGCACGCAGTCGTAACTAGTGCCGCGCCGAGCATGACACTGTGGTGATGGCTGCTTGCCTCACCATGGGTTGGTACCTCGGTGTCAATGCCAGACACCAATGCCGCAGTGGCATAGTGGTGAGATGTGCCCCACCACGGTCGAGTACCATCAAGGTACATGGTGTCTGTGACAGACACTGGTATAGGTGCAAAGGATATGCACCATACCACGACCCGATGCGCTCTGGACGCTGTGAGTCAACGCACGTACCGTGCATCAGCACTGGCTGCTGTCGAGCGGCCTGCCAGGAGTTCCACGTAATGAACTCGTCGTGCATGACACACATGACGTGCACGGAGCACTTATGGTAGCTGTGGTACGTGTCGTACACAGCGTACCTCGTGTACGGGCCCATGGACCTGTACACTGTGCTTGCACATGCGTCGTGCATGATGCGAGCACTGGCCATGAATCTGTTCAGGCGACAGCACAGCAGAAGCTGTTGCCGCCAAACATGGCAGCCTTGTGGTGGGCGTAACGCACGAAAGGCTAGTACCGTACGGTACATGGTGTCGATGGGAGACACCTACATCACGGTTGTGTACCGTCACGGTACACGGTGTCGATGAAGGACACCTTCGCGCCGTTGGTATGGTGACCAAGACGCGAAGAGAGCGTGGCAGAAGCTCCGCCCGCAAGGATGGATCCTTGCTGGAGCCAGAGGCATGGCCCGAGGTGAGCTGAGAGCTCCCTCTAGTGCTGGGGAAGGTGTTGCCCTTCTCAGTGTCGTTCCTCGCGGGAGACACCATGCTCCGGACGCGTTCACGAGGACTGTCGTGTCCTCTGGTGCGAACTGTGGGCGAATGCCACACGTTCGGATGCTATTGCACCCTGTGCCAAAGCACTGTACGCGCGCTAGCGCAGGAGCTAAGGCAGTTCTGAGTGTAGGCTTTGCGGCCAACACAGTTGTGAGCATAGGGATGCAAATCCCAGTGAGCTTTGGCAGCACAAGTCACTGTGGGTGTGACTGAGAGCCGCGCCAGTCTCGTGGCTGCTCAGTGTGATAATTCACCTTTTGGTGTTTTAATTCTCTCACTTCTGATTGGAGAATCAGTTGTGATTGGAGAATCAAGTGATTCTCAGTTAAGTGCGGGAGGATATAACGGGGTACAATCCAGTGTGCCCCATGTTACATAAAGAGTGACCCGTCACTCTTGTGGACACCTGATACACGGTACCAGGTGCTCTCGGAACCAGTCATGGCATGACTACTTAGCTCCACTATAGGTAACCTCTAGTTTGTATGTGAACCCAAGCTTATCTTACTTATAAATACATCAGTCTTAAATCTACTCCTCTAAGTAGCAAACTGTCCCACTGAGGCCGGGAACACGTGGACTTACGTTCACTCGGGTAGTAATACCCTTAAGCACTTCCTCTGTGCAAGGTGCTGTGTGACCCCGTCACAGATCAGATGATCATCTAGAAAAATTACAATAATATTTTTTTCAATAAAAACATTATTGTTTTTTTTAACATCATTTTATTTTCGTAAAACTTCGGCAGATTTTGTGGTATTTTATTATCATTGTTTAGGGCGTAATTCAGTGCTTCACTGGAATAAAGGTGCTTGATGACTGTGTAACGTTAGGGTGCTCTAACGCTATTCGTCATGCGACCTATGACTGGTATGTTTCTGGACATACATTAAAGGAGCTTTTTTTTATATAAATGAGGCATATCTGACGAAAGTGTTCAGTTCGTCAAACTGATCGAACGTTAATCGTTGTGCCTACATATTGACGTGAAAATGCCCCCCCTCTCTTGTTCATGACAAATTCATCTGTAACGCTCTTATCGGACGCCGACACGTATTTCCATGACAGCATCGATCGGTTCGCCTCCAGCACCGAGAAGCCAAAGTGCGTGTAGTCAACTGCAGCATTCCACGGAGCTGTTCCAGCGGGGGCGTCGGTCAAATTTTCAATATTCCCCGCAGCACCCGTCAAAATGTAAACTGGAGCCTGTGGGTTATCGTACGTCTTAAAGTCGTTGGATACTCCATCCATCACTGCCGCGTTGTTGGCGATTGGTAGTTGGCGCTCATAGTAGTGCTTGTGAGCCGTGAGAACGACGTCCACCTTGTACTTGATGAACAGCGCCTCAAAAGCAGATTGCACATTGGCGTTCTGATCCGTCGGCACTCCAGCGTCGTCGCATCCGTCGACATCATAAAGAGGACGGTGCATTCCAACGATGATCCAAGGCACATTACCACGATTCGCATCAGCCTTCGCAAGATCTGACTCGATCCACTTGAGCTGATCACCAAAATTCCCGTTCTTGTGGGTCAAAGTGTACTCGTTCGAGGGCGCATTCGGGTAGTCTGTCTCGGACGAAAGCGAGGTAAAGTGGAGTGGGCCGTGGTCAAACGAATGCCACATATTGAGAGCGCCACCACTCTCTTCGTATGGCATTTTGAACCGAGAATTATACGCCGTGTAGTTGCCCAACATGTTCTTCTTGGTCCGCGAGAGCTGACAGGCAGGTGAATGACACTCCGCCTCGTGGTTACCTACAACCACCATGTACGGAATAACGCTCATGACGGGGGCTAGAGAATTCATCCACTTGTTGTAGACTTCTTCATAGAAGAATCCAGATACTTGCGACGCCACCAAGTAGTCGTCGTCCGCGTACGCGATGTCACCGATGTGGTAGACGAGGTCAATATCATTCGACGTCAACGTATTCGCGTATGTTAGAGTGTCCTCAGAGTTATCGCCGTCTCCGGCATCTCCGTAAATCAAAACCTTAAATGTGGAAGTGTCCGAAGCTGATCGCGCGGTCACGAAAGAGTTGACATCACTCTGGTACGTCGTCCGGGTTCTGCTGCCGACCTTGTAGAAGTATTTCGTATGCGGGGACAGACTGGAGACCGTCGCGGGATGGTGGTACATTTCGTACTCGTCGTCACGGTAGTAATCGACGCTTTTGACTGTAGTGTCCACGAGTGCCAGTGAGGCTTCCGAAGTACCGACCCAGAGTGAACTGTCATCCACCTCTTCGAACGTCGCCCAGGACACCGTCATGCCCGTTCCAGCCGTCGTACCGGCAAAAGCCAAGTGGATCTGTTGCGGGTAAAAGTTGACACCGTCCTTGACTCGACAGGACTGACTGAGGGTAAGATCTCCGAAGTTGAAGTTGTAAACGCATAGTGCCGATGGTTGACACCCAAGCGAAGACAGCGACCAATTCCAAGCGCAAACAGTGTCATCCACCAGAACGGCGGCGCTTGCAGCGCTAGCTCCAAGAGCCAGGAGACCGAGCGAGAGAATTGTCATGAGAACTGAGTCCAAGTTTGGAGGCTTGCGCTGAAGACGATCGATTGAAGAATGAGCATATACACTCACCTCCAAATCGGGGTCGGTCACAAGCCGTACAAGAGACTTGAGGGTGATGGCATTGAGCTCGATGTGCAGTGTTTCTCTCTGCAACGAGGGAAACCTTATTGGAATGGATTGGGCGTGGGTTCCTGTTGTCAGCGACAGATACTTGAATCTACATGACTAGCAAACCCACATCAAACATTTTGAGTAATGCCAAGTCTGGAAATCTTGATCAATTGTGCCTCGCTCATGCAATTCTCTCATTTTCTAAATACCGGTAAGAAATGCTGGGGTTACGAGGGTTACAATGTAGCCAACATACCCTTTCATAAAAAAATCTTTTTCAACCAATCACTGCACGCGGGACTTTTCATACTGGACACCAGCCATTATCTGACCTCATGGCAGGCAAGAGGAAGCGCGATGCTTTTTCGGCACACGATAAGCTGGTGCACAAGAGCTGTTCGCTGTTGCAGCGCGAGGCGAAGAAGGTCCGAGCATTCTTGGTTCGCAAGGCAGTGCAGCAGCTGAAGCAGCTCCGCCAACAGCTCGCAGAGCCTGTGGAGGATGCGGCTAAGCAACAAAAGCGAGACCAGAAGTTGCGCAACAGTATCGAACGGTTCGAGCGCGAGCATGCAGCGCTAAAGACTCTAGATCTGCAGAAGCTGGTGACTAGAGCCAGAGCTCAGACTGGGTTGGACAAGCCACAGCCCCAAACTACCGAAGAGAATGAGCACGAGGAGGTGGAAGAATGGGACGAGGAAGGCAGCGAAGATGACAGCAGTGAGGAGACTGAGGGTGAGCAGGGTGCGGAGCAGGGCGAGACTGTAAAGGATCCAGATTCTGCTGCTGCTGGACGGGAGACGGAACAGAAGGAGACGCAGGAAGACGCTCCCAATCCGGACTCGGAACTGGATGAAAAGCTGATGGACCGCATGTTGGCTCATAAGCAGATTGTGCCGCTTCTGGACGCCATCAAGAAACTGGTGGAGAAGGAGGAAAAGGAGGCCGAGAAGAAGCGGCGGGCACATGAGAAGCGCGCGTTGAAACGTGGACGCCACGAGTCGCTGGTCGGCAATACTGGACGCAGTGGTGTAGCCCCCACCTCGTTGTTCCTGGGCTCTCTGTCTGGACGCGGGGGACTGGACGATGATATGGAAATGGGTATGGACGAATATGGCACTATGGCTGGCGCAGACGATGATATTGCTGAGTTCCTAGGCGAAAAGAAGAAGAGGAAGAACCGACCTGGTCAGGTGGCACGTCGCATGAAGGCTATTCGCAAGGAGGAGGCGCTCAAGCGCAAGGAAGACCGCTCTAAGGGCATCTTCGTGGCGTACAAAGACAACGCGGCGTCTGTAGGCAAGTACGGACTGTCCGAGCGACCGAAGAAGGCCAAACCGAAGGCCAAACCAGGTAAGGGCGACAAGACAGACAAGCACAAGCTGCGTAATGACAAGCCGCGTGCAGCTTCGAAGGATGTAGAGCCACAGAAGCAACGTGCTGCCTCTGTTGCTCCAGTGGAGGCTGCTCACCCGTCGTGGCTGGCAAAGCAGCAACAAAAGGAGAAGGAGAAGGTGAGTCTGACAGCCTTTAGCGGCAAAAAGATCACGTTCGACTAGCTTTTAACCAGATGATAGACAAAATCAAAAAGAGGGTCAGAGCAGAAGTCTGCTGCCCTAGACCGGTTTATTGTGTTGGTTCGTGTTTTTTCTAGCTGCGGAGCATTTTGGCAACTTGGTGCGCCAGACTGCTGTCCGTAGGCGCACACTGTCGACGCAGCTCCGGGATTTCGTTGCTCACGATGTTGTCGAGTGCTGCAATCTCCGAGTTCTTCAGCTTCGGCATCATACTGAAGCCAAGAGTGTGTGCTGCCACTTGCAGCGACGGCAGCACGCGCTTCCACAAGGATAACACGTACTCGTCTCCCTCCGCCAACTGGCGGCCGTATCGACGACGGAACAGCTCACTCAGCGAGTCCTCATGCAGCAGATCGCGCTCCAGTTGGGTCATCACAGTCGAGTTGTGCCACCCCACACCACCAGACGCCAACACACTGGCAACGGATAGTCCTGCCGCAGCTTCGATGGGGACGCCGCTCGCCAACGCCGAAGCTGCGAGTGCGTTGCCTCCCACGAACGTCGCAGCCACGAGAGCCGAGCGACGCCACTTCTCACTAGCGTAACGAGCTCGCAGATCTTCAAAGACCTCGGCGTGCATCTTGAGCAGTCGTGACGAGTCGTACAGGTTCGTGATGAGGTTGTCCACACGACGCTCCGGCGCACGTTGAACCTCGCTCACCACTTCCTCACGCATAGCGTCCAAGTCCTTCATCGACGCGCCAAGACCTTCTGCTGCTTGCATCTGATTGTCCTTCGTGGGAATGCACATAGTATAGATGCGCGGGAGATCCTTGAGCGGGATGACCTTGCTCAAGTTCCAGCACAGCGAACCGTAGGCACGCGCGAAGTCATGGATCTTACGGAACTGATCCACTTTGTTAAGTACGAGGTGCAGCTTATGGTCCATACCTACCAGTGAGCGCGTTAAGATCGACAGAGTCTCACCGGTCGTGCCGGGTTTGTCCGGGTCGAAGAAGAGCAGGATCACATCGGCACGCTCGGCGTACCAGCGCACAACCTCCGGAAACTCGTATCCTCTGTCCGAGTCTTGTCCCTTAAAGCTGTTGCTCCGTTGTTGTTGCGACGATAAGCGGTCACTGGGTCCCGTGTAGTTAAACTGGGACTGGTGTGGCGGACTGTGCGGCGAGTCGATCATACCGGGACTGTCTACAAGCATGAAGTTGGCCTGGATGCCCTTGCGCACCTTGAGCTGCGTGCGCTGGATGAGTGCCGGGCCGTATACGCGCAGCCCGGAGAAGCCCAAGTCCGGGTCACCGACGAGCGCCGGACCGTCCTGGTCCAGGTCTTCGCGGCCCGGGGCGATGATGGTGAAGCCGTCGTCTGTAGGAGCCACGCCTGTGGACTGCACATCGCGCTGCAGCAGGTAGTTTATAAAGGAGGACTTGCCGGACGAGTGATTGCCTAATAGGAAGACGAAGGGGAGCGACGGCAGCTTTTCCTCACGGTGCTTGCGGTCCAATGGGCCCAGTAGCTTTTCGTTTAAAGGCAACAACACGTTCGTCTCCAGGCGACTGGTCTGCTGCATAAGACGGATCCACTTCTCGTCATCGATAGCGTGATCTCCTGCAATTGCCTGTGAGGCGGCCAGCGATGACAAACGGCGGGACGCCAGCAACGGCCGGCGTAGCGCAGAACGACATCCGGCGCGTAGCATCCTCACAACAAATTATGAGCCCCTGGGTGGTGCTTGTGTACGCCACACGAGATTTCGTGTTTTATGCACGATCCTCATTTGAATGACTAACAAAGGTTTAGTGACTGGGACGTCGACAGTCATATATGTTCCTTAACCTTTACAGCGACCGACGTTGTCACCAAAGACTCGGGCATCTTGCTCAGAACAACGCACTAAGCTTTTACAACGTTGTAGTATTTTAGCACTACGTAGGTACAGTACACACACAGTGACGTACTACTACAGTACTTCACTGCACTGTACTATTAAAACTGTACAACACAACAGCTTAGTCGCGAGCGTCGAACACCGACAGCAGCAGCTCGCCGTAGTCGCCGCTCACCTCTTCGGCGATGCGCTCACGCAGCTCCTTGCCGAACTTCTTCTTGTACACCGGCTTGATGTCACGAAGCACAATGTGGTAGCGCACCACGGCCGAGCTCAAAGCGTTCTCGTCCGTGCCGAAGCCCTTCATGGCCTCCTCGAACAGCTCAGCCAGCAGATCCAGCGGCTCCGTGATCATACGGATGAGGAACAGCACGGCCTTCTCAGAGTCGCCTCTGAACTCGTGGGCCGCAGCCTTCACGAGCGACTCCTCGTACTTCTTCTCGTACGCAGCGGCCACAGCGCGCAGGTGCTCGGGCGGACTGGCCGCTAGGACACCGACGAAGCCCTCCTCGTCCGTGCCCATCTTGCCACGACCAGTCTTGTACAGCTTTTCCACGTCAGCTTCCACCTTGGCGGTGTTGTGAATGTTGGCGTCGTACGGCACCAGCGCGGCCTGCAGCGACGCCAGGATAACCTTCTTGAAGTCGCCGTGCAGGTCGCTGTCCAGCACAGAGCCCAGGTCCTCGCCGTACGTCTCGTAGTATGTCTTCTTGAGGATGTTAATCTCCGCGTTCGTACGGCCCACGACCACGGGGTAGATCAGGTCCTCCTTTGTGCCCAGACCCTTGGTGGCCTTGCGCAAGATGCCAGCCTCAGCCTCCGGGAGGGGCGATGCCAGCAGCTTGAGCAGGAACTCGTAGTGGCCCGACGTCTCCTCGTCCACCAGGTCGCGCAGGCTCTGGTTGTGCAGCTCCTTGTAGCGCTTGGCGATGAAACCGCGCTCTGTGGCCGTCTTGCCGCCCAGCGCCTTGTTCAACTGTTTCTCCTTGGTGCCGGCGCCTTTGGTAGCCTCGTAGATCTCGTTCACGGTCGAGTCCGTGCCGGCCGGGTACGCAGGCGGCTGGCCGTTCCAGGCGCTGTGCGTGGCGGGCGGGTACAGGTTCAGCATCTCGGCTCAGTAGTAGGAGGGGGACTTGCGACGCAGGAGGCGGATTTGGAAATGAAAGATTTCAATTCTTTGGCTGCCACGAACTTCAATTTCATGCAGCAAAATTGACCGCATATTGTAAGAAGAATTTACGGGGTGGATACAATTAAGTTACCTGTTCTTTTCAATTAGTGGGTATAGGCGTTTGGATACTATTTCATTTGACAACGATGGAATGCTTTGATAGACTTGGAAATTCGATATCTTGAAACAAATGCTACTATTTCTGTATCGGATTCACATCCCTCCGATCTTAACAAGTATCGGAGCAGAGACAAGCAAGCATCGCCGCGATCCTCGACACGTGTTGTTGCTGAGGTGATTTGGATTTTGGTCGATGCCACATGCTTTGCCAACCTTGGTAGAGCAAGCCATAACGCATACTATCTAGCCGCATGTTTTGCTTATTTATTCTAAAGAAGATTTCTACAGAAATCTTCTTGCAAGCTCGAATCGAGCAATCAGATTTCCAAAAAATCAGTCAAAAATAAACCGGTATACCAGAGACGGGTCAAGAATCCAATTGAAGTTGCCCGAGCCAAAATGACGGACGATCGTCATTTCCAAATCCGCCTCCTGCGTCGCAAGTCCCCCTCCTACTACTGAGCCGAGATGCTGAACCTGTACCCGCCCGCCACGCACAGCGCCTGGAACGGCCAGCCGCCTGCGTACCCGGCCGGCACGGACTCGACCGTGAACGAGATCTACGAGGCTACCAAAGGCGCCGGCACCAAGGAGAAACAGTTGAACAAGGCGCTGGGCGGCAAGACGGCCACAGAGCGCGGTTTCATCGCCAAGCGCTACAAGGAGCTGCACAACCAGAGCCTGCGCGACCTGGTGGACGAGGAGACGTCGGGCCACTACGAGTTCCTGCTCAAGCTGCTGGCATCGCCCCTCCCGGAGGCTGAGGCTGGCATCCTGCGCAAGGCCACCAAGGGTCTGGGCACAAAGGAGGACCTGATCCACCCCGTGGTCGTAGGCCGTACGAACGCGGAGATTAACATCCTCAAGAAGACATACTACGAGACGTACGGCGAGGACCTGGGCTCTGTGCTGGACAGCGACCTGCACGGCGACTTCAAGAAGGTTATCCTGGCGTCGCTGCAGGCCGCGCTGGTGCCGTACGACGCCAACATTCACAACACCGCCAAGGTGGAAGCTGACGTGGAAAAGCTGTACAAGACTGGTCGTGGCAAGATGGGCACGGACGAGGAGGGCTTCGTCGGTGTCCTAGTGGCCAGTCCGCCCGAGCACCTGCGCGCTGTGGCCGCTGCGTACGAGAAGAAGTACGAGGAGTCGCTCGTGAAGGCTGCGGCCCACGAGTTCAGAGGCGACTCTGAGAAGGCCGTGCTGTTCCTCATCCGTATGATCACGGAGCCGCTGGATCTGCTGGCTGAGCTGTTCGAGGAGGCCATGAAGGGCTTCGGCACGGACGAGAACGCTTTGAGCTCGGCCGTGGTGCGCTACCACATTGTGCTTCGTGACATCAAGCCGGTGTACAAGAAGAAGTTCGGCAAGGAGCTGCGTGAGCGCATCGCCGAAGAGGTAAGCGGCGACTACGGTGAGCTGCTGCTATCGGTGTTCGACGCTCGCGACTAAGCTACTGCGCTGCAGCGCAGTGTGGTGAAGTACGTCACTGCGTGTACCTGTGTAGTCTTTTCTACATGTCTTCGTTTAAAATAAAAAATATATCACTGTCGAGCATTGATTGCAGGGTTCCTCAAAATATACTACTAATGTAAATGAATTTCTTCGCTTTGTGAGATTGTGTAGTAATGGTAAATGGATTTCTTCGTTTTGTGAGAGCATGGTAGATTGGAAATTTGCAAATAAATAATTTGTGCTGCTATTGTGGCAAAAATAAATATCTGCATCAAAATGTGATCGTGTTACCAAATTAAGGCCCTGAGAACGTGTTCTGTGCCAAATAATTTAAGCAATTTGATTGGCTAAGAGTTACGGCACTCCTGCATATGTTTTGCTCGTTCGGGATCTCTTGCAAAGTGAGTTTACGTCGGTCGCACCGGCGAAAATTTGGTGGTTGCCCAACAAGGACAATTAATTTCATGAAGGAACACAAAATCATAAATATATTCAAATTGTGGCTAGCCCATAAAGTAAGTTATTTTCTTAAGTAAAACATATATTTTCAGCAGATACATTTTTGAGGATCCCTGATTGATCGTGAGAATAATTCGGATTGGACCGATAGGATTGCCACCACTCTAATAGTACGTCTACAGTGTGTATGTAGATGCCCCACTTGTAGTCCCAGCAGAGTGAGTCACATGAAGGTATCATTAAAGTTTTGAAAGGCACGAGTAGTTATATATTAGTAGAGCAAGTACTATACTACCAAGTAGTAGTAGTTCAAGAAAATACTTTTTAGTAGTAATAGTACTTTAACCTCAGTGACTACGTGCAAAATTTGCATGATCGCTTTGAATGAAAATTGGCTCTATACGATGTAACTATATTCTTTGAAATGTGAATTTCACAAAAAAAAATCATTTAATCTTAACCCCTTAGTTCCCGCACGTTGGACCGCTCAACATAACGGATGTATCTTTTTTTTTAGCCTCTATGTTATGTTGGAGGTCCAACATAAGCAAAAGTCATACTTGATTTTAGTATTGAAACAGATCTATTGAGATCGGCATACTGAAGTCAAGGTAGTATTATTGGTTCAAGACGAGCCATTGCACAGGGCTCGGGGTTTTGGATCAGGATAGTGTGACAAAGTCAAAGCACGCCATTCCCGTTTGAACTGGTGGCCGCCAGCTTAAATCTCTCCTCATTCTTCAATTTCGCAGCTTGCACGTAAGACCAAAAGCGATGGTCGCTACGGCAGGTAAAGGGCCACCCGGGCGGACACCACGGACCACGGAGCCAGGACACACTGCAGGAGAGACAAAGGAGCGACACGCGCAGCTGCTGACCAAGCTCAGCGATCGACACCGCCGCCATCTTCTTCGGGACAGCGCAGCGCTGGGCCGATTTGTAACGCTTGCAGAGCGCGACGTGGTGGCACCACGTCATCGTGACGGTACTGCTCATGCGTGCCTATACTTTGATGAAAGCGGTAGTGCTGACTCTGTTGTGATTGTAGGTGCTCGTGATGACCGTGATCGTGCTGGCGGTAGTGGTTGAGACACAGCTGGCGCTCAGGAGAACGCGGAACCCGCTGAAAGTGCTTTTGCGAAGGCTGATTGTGTATCTTCCGCTGCGGAGGCTAAGCAACCCGCTACCGCAAAGCCGCAGAAGAGACGAGCTGCTAAAGACCGCGCTAAACTAACGACACCAGCCATGGAAGTCCGAAAGGCGACGGGAGTGTACAAGCCATCAAACCCTGGGAAGCCTAGCCAGGACGCCGAAGCCAAGGACGCAGAGGACGTTGAGGTTGACGCGACGGACGTCGCTGCTGAGGCAATGGCGATACCGTCGTCATCCGCAGCACCTACCGAGGCTCAGGTGCCACTAGATCCAGCCGTGGTCGAGATAATGGCCGACTTGATGTCCAATTTGGAGAGCGATGTCGCAGCTCGCGTGGACAACGATGCGGACACCCCTGTGCGTATTTCTTCACGGAGGTCAACAAAAGAGCAGATTACGCCGAGGCCGCCATCTCTTGGCAGGAGCCGTCGACCCCCCAAGCCTCGGAAGT